ATATATATATATATATATGTTTCACATGCAATGGAAATAAAATGGAGACAATGAGAAACAGTCAAAGAAACCTCTCATTTTATTAAACAATGATCTAATGTCTGCCTAGAAAACACTTCTCTTTTATGGCCCAACTCAAGGCTCACTATCTCCAAGAAGCCTTTTGTTACCCTCCTTCCCTCATTCTATCTGGAACAGACTCTACCCCACATCTGTGACACATTATTTTCCTTGTTTGTTGTGCCTCTGTCCCCAGACTAGATCCTGGAAGGCAGAACAGGATCCTGTCTGAATCTGTCTCTCCTGTACATAAAATAGTGCCTGCTCCCTGATAGTTGCTCTGTGAATATTTATCAAATGACAAGTTTGAAGAACTCCATAGAACTGTGCAGGAGGTAAAGCCATCCTTCAGTGAAATGCTGTGGAATTGAAATGTACACTCCCATTACCTTCTCTGGACCCTTTCCTCCTTCATCCGCCCCTTCTCTCCCAGCTGCCATTTCTCTGAGAAGTGGCCTTCTGCCCAAAGCTCCAGCCCATCAGACCACAAACAACCTCATTCTCCTAAGGTCTCCCTAAACCCAAATGCCTCCTTTTCTTTCTCTAATCTTCCATCCAAGAAAGGAAAATTCTTTTCTTCCTTTAGGAAAAAGGACATGTTTTCATTTGAAAAGACAGCAGCGGCTTAACCTGAATAAGTCTCTGGTTGGCGAAACTTCAAGAAAAATGATGAAGGGCATAGGAAGGATTCCAAACGTGCCAACCAAACCCCCGCCAGGGGGAGACTCAGAAGCATGACTTGGAGTCCCACTGCTCTTCTCTCCTCCGGCCCGAACACCCATATTAAATAGATTTGCAAGCCAAGGATTTTGTTCAGTATTTACACAGTTTATCCACCTGTCTCCACTCCCTGGCTTCTTAACTCACAGTACTGAAACGGGGGGCCATTTTGTACGACATGGCCATGGGCATTTTCTTCCTCCTGGGAAGAACAAAAAGGACTCCTTTTAACAATGATCTTCTCATCATGATTTCCACCAGATTCCCAGAGGTGTCTTAAATCAAAGAAAGGTGAAGAAACCTGTACTAACAGAAAACGCTTAACTTCATCGCAGAGAGGTGTGAGTCAGTCTTATAAAACCTTTCCACAGAAAGACTTTCCCTAGTTAACCCTTTCCTGTCTTTGTTCACTTAATTCTTTTTTTTTTTTAATTTTTTTTTTTTTAACGTTTATTATTTTTGGGACAGAGAGAGACAGAGCATGAACGGGGGAGGGGCAGAGAGAGAGGGAGACACAGAGTCGGAAACAGGCTCCAGGCTCCGAGCCATCAGCTCAAGGCCTGACGCGGGGCTCAAACTCACGGAGCGCGAGATCGTGACCTGGCTGAAGTCGGACGCTTAACCGACTGCGCCACCCAGGCGCCCCCTTTTTTTTTTTTTTTTTTTTTTATAAGCTGTAGGTATTCTTACCATTAGTATTTTCAGAAGTTATATTTCTCACTGAAGTCTCTCAAAGTCTTAGTAAAAGTACCCCTAGCTCCTCACTAAGCAGGGTCCCCATTTGACTCCCTGGAAGTTAGGTCAGCGGCCTGATACTGTGAGCATACTGGGAACAAGTTGTACCAATACCAAATTTTAATTCCTCATAGAAGTATTTCAAAGGCTGCAAACACAGCCCCAGCAGAAAGAAATATAAATGTAAGACTACACAGGAAGGGAACAGAGAATAACAAAATCTCAGACTTGGAAAGGAATTCAGAGGTTCTTTTTCTCCCTCATCCACTGCCAGAATTCTTCTTATGGTTTCTCCAACAAATTGTCATTTAATTACTGTCTGAAGACCTCTGATGGCAAGGGATTCACTCTTGCTCAAGGCATTTGCCCTATTATATAACCCCTGAATTCCTAGGAGATTCATCCTCAAAGTTAGACAATATCTAACTTGTAGTTAGGTTGCCTGAGAAATCTGGACAACTTCATTCCCTCATGTACCTGGACTGTCCATCAAAAACTGTAAGGCAGTTTCGAGTCTCTCTTTTTCCTTATGGTGTTTAGACAGCACTGCATCCTGTTTATTTTTCTTGCTCTCCACAGTTCCTGATACTGTGCAGTGGGGAATGGGTGGAAGAATTAAATGAATGGGGACATATCTCAGCTGTGTCTCTGTAGGACAAGGAGATGGCAGGAAGTGCCCAGGGTCCTAAATCATGGACTGTCCAGTGTGACAAGAGTTCCTACAGCAATGGGGGAGGTGGTTCTGAAGCAGTGAGGAGAGTGGGGGCATTCCATGACTAGTTCCTGCCTGGCCACTCATCTCTCTTGAAGCCTGAACTTTTAGTCTCTCCCTGAGACCTAAGCTTAAAACAAACAAACAAACAAACAAACAAACAAACAAACAAACAAGGCACAAGTATCTCCTTGCAATTAGCCAGGGCTTAAAGAACATAAATGCCCATAGGGTCAAGTAGAGCTTTCACGGAAGTGAGGCTTTAGAGTTTAAGAAAATAAGTGATCAGACAGAATTCAAGCATGCCCTCCTAATGAAATAAATTCAATTTATTTAAAGCACATTGTTTCAAAAAATAAATTAACACTCTTCATTTAGAGCTTATGGTTAAGGACATAAAGTATGCTACCAGACTCCAGGAGGGAAGACTGAATTATAGCTCTTTTACTTACTTGCTGTGAGATTTTAAGCAAGTTATTTAATCTCTGTATGCCTTAGTTGCTGGAACTATGAGATTAATACCGCCAATCACATTGGATTATCGTAAGAATTAAGAGCTGTGTACATTAATTAGAATGATGTCCAGAATGTGTGTGTGTGTGGAGAGAGAGAAGGAGAGTGTGTGGGGTAGTATTTATGTAATCAGATATACTTATTCCTGTTACGCACTGTCTATATCCACAGATACAACCTGGCAGGTACAAATGGGACATGGAACCACACGTAAGAGATGCTTTGCAGAAAACTTGCATCTCACTGCTCTGTAACTAACTTATTGTAGTCTAGCCACATCACAGCAGGATCGTCTAGCTTAGAGGAAAGATGGCGGGGCTGATTATCAGGAGATCTGGCCTCTGGTCTCAGCTGTGTCCCGAGTTATCTGCCTGGCCTAAGTTAATCAGTTAATCTATGCCTCAGCATCCTCAGCCAGCCTTATTCACCTCACAGAGACATTATGGGGGCAAAGTTTAAGAACTGACATGTTAATATAATGGTTCTAATCATACAAAGGTCTGCTGACTAATAAGAGGTCTAATAACCCATAATGGTTCCTTTCTCTCTTATAGGCTCTTCAAGATCAGATAGTCTTGGAGTGGTCAGTCACCACCCAGGCTCTCTCTCTCTCTCTTTTTTTCTTCCCTTGCATTTGCTCTTAGAATAAAATTGTCAGTGGGATGCTGTCATTCTTAATGTACTTCAGGCCTGATTCAACTCGCTCGCCCACCAGGTTTGATCTTTGTGTGAGGCTCACACATCATTCTTTACTTTCAGTGTCATAAATCATCAGAAAGCAAGATGAAGCAAAGAAGAAGACCTCCTACCACTCCCCCAATTCCAAAAAAAAAAAAAAAAAAAAAAAAAAAAAAAGTAGAGCAAGAGAAATCGGTCTAAGGTCGAGAGAGGTCAGAGTATGGCTGCATATTCCAATGGCCTTCTATGGCCTCAGCACAGTCCATCCCAGGGATGGTTCTAAAGCCCAGCCTCCTCTCATTACATTGGCAAATTACAAGAGGAGAAACAACATTTTCTTAATCATGGGAATGTGTTCTTTGAGATCAGACTACTGGGATGGCCACATCTTTGCCCTCATGACCAGTTCTAATACTTGTTCCATCCCTTAGGATTCTGATCTCACATGCTCTTGACCAGGACCAAAAGTCCTGCTCAGTGCTGGCTGGAATTATGTAGTGAGAAAACCTGACTTCCCCTAAGCACTGTCAGACTTGGTGTCCTTCAACATCCCTTGCATCAAGTGCGTTCCAGGCCCTGTACCCTTCTAACCTTTGCAGATTAAATTTTGTGTACATTGTCTTCAAAGTCTGATCCTCAGCACCAAGCCCCGTATTCCACAGTGTTTTGACTCACATCTACAACTTCTCTCCAAGACCCAGGCAATCGACTTCTAGGCATACGGCCTGCATTTATGCCAATTGTTTTAACGGCCCCCAGTAAAGGAGACTGCAGCAAAGATGACACGATATATGTGATGAGTGTCCTTCCGAAATTCAGATATGCTTATGATCTTCTCCTTTGCACTTAATGGACTCCAGCACAGAATAAATAATAAAGAATTACTGTGACACAGTTGAGGCAAATTAAAGTCAACGCATTTGAGACTTCAGCAATGAATTGATACTGGCCCTGAATACCAATTGCAAGTCATAAAGGTAAAGTACAATCAAGGTTTTGGCTGGAGCTCTGGCATTAAGCTGCCCAGGTGGGACCAAATTTAAGCTGAAATTCTGCAGCGTTCTGGAGGGCATGCACTGTCCCTCAGCCCAACATGACACTTCGTCAGGCTTCATGCTGTCAGTACTCACCATTCCTGCAGAGCAGGACGGCCAGGGAATCCTGAGAAGATGAATTGATGTAGAGCAAGAGGCTGGGCGCCTGAGCTGTCACAAAGCTAAATGCAATATTTTCCTTGGATGGAGCCGCATCTGTGTAAATCGCCGAGGATGAGAGGCTTATATTTTTGGTCACCGGGTAGGGTTCTTGAAACATATAAGTAACTGAAGTGCCAGCCTCAAAAACAGCAGAAACCTCTGAAACATAGAAGAGGGGAACGCACACATTGCCACATTTAGTCGATTATTCAGGCTAGCAATAACTGTTTATTGTTTGCTAAGCAACAAGCACTATGTGAGGTTTTTTTTTTTTTTACCTGAATTATACAATACGCTTCCCACAATAAGTTCGAAGTGGCAGAAGTCATTACTCTTATTTACAAATGAGAAACATGAGGCTGCAGAGGTTAAGCACCTTGAACAAGGTTGCATAGCTTTAAAAAAGAGAGCTGAGATTTGCAACCTGGAGTTTAGTTCCAGCTTAACATACATTTGCGGTATAACTACCATGTGCCAGGCGGATTTCTAGAGAAGCAAAGATAAACCGTCCCTGCTGCCAGTACCGTAGTGATAAATTTTATTGCGACCTTCCTTGTTTCAAACTGAGGTTCTAACTGTTCCAGCTAGTAGTGCTTTTCTGGTGTGTTAGGAGGATTGTGAGTGGGTTCTACGTTACTGAGAATAGGACACTGGAGGAGGCTCTGCAGTAACCCTCTACGGTGTTGGATAAAATGTGAGGATCCATGGAAACAGAAGAGAGAGAATCCATGGAACTGGTAGAAAAGGCATGGGTATTCAACCCCTGGACTCCATTTTTTGGGATGTCTAGGAATTGACATTCGAGTCCAAAAAGAGCCAAGACTTGAGCAAACAGGGCTTCCTATGGGAAACAATTCCTATAGCATCGCACGTTGGATGGAGTTCTGCCGCCACCATGGAGAAAGGCAGCATCTACAAATTGATGACATTCAATTAGCAGGAATGTGCAAGTCACCCGCATTCCCTCTATAATATGCTTACTCCAACTGTTACCACTTTAGTTTGGTGGAACTGGCACAGGATTTGGCTTCAGCCCTGGGTCTGGGCTGGATCAATTTCATACTAGCTGTGTGGTCCCAGGCAAGCTAGTGAATCCTGTGGAGACTGTTTTGGCATCTGGTGGATGGGAATCGTAACACTTACGTCAACTATATTTCTCAGTGGATAAATGAGATACTGTGTGTAGAGCGCTTCTAACAGTTAGCCACTACAGTGTGAACTTACAGACTTTCCATATTAGAAGAGGCTTCAACCTGAACCCATCCCAATTTCCTTCACAAACTATCTGTTTATTGACTGCATACCCAACCCAATGCCGAAATATTTTCTTTCTTTTTTTAGATTTTCATGTGTATTTGTTTATTTTTGAGAGAGAGAGACAAAGCACAAGCAGGGGAAGGGCAGAGAGACAGGGAGAGAGACAATCCCAAGCAGTCTCGGCCTTGTCAGCATAGAGCCCCATGCGGGGCTCAAACTCACGAACCCCAGTGAGATAATGACCTGAGCCGAAACCAAGGGTCAGATGCCACACTGACTGAGACACCCAGGTGCCCTGAGATATTCTTTTCTTTCAATCAAGGCTGCTCGTAAGTTCTCTTTCAATGTTACTGCTATAGAGTAATATACTATCAAGGCACAGAGGAAAGGTTCCTTTTAGAACAACATAGCTCAGATCTTGCAGCAAACCTTTACCATAAAGATAGCACAATAAACATGAACTCATATTGGCGTGATTGATTTCTTTTTTTTCCTGAATGATATGTGGAATTCACCTAATTCTCCATGAAATTTCTTGATTGAGTTGGTGGCACCTAGAACATAATCAAACCTGGCTTTCCCTTCCTAATTTCATTGCAAATTTGTTCTACCTTTGTGAAAATTCTATAACAGTCTGTAACAGTGCCAAAAAATTAAAGTTGCATATTTATGCATATTGGTGGCAGATTGGGAATACCAGTTCATTTTGACTAAAGGTTCAGAGAAAGTGTTCTGCATTTATCATTCAGGTTACAACATCCGTACTCCTGATTACAAAGATATGCAGCAGAGACTTGTGACAGAGAGGATTCCGGTTAATCATCAGCTTGATTCAAGCACTTTCCTTGAGTGAATTTCCTTGGGGACGCTTGGCCTGCATTTTGAGCTACTATCTCCTCGTTAACAGAATAATGGCTTTTATTTGATGTTGTGTGTGTGTTCAAATATAACTATAATTCAGAGCATTCTGTTATGAATAGCATATTAGATGTGGGCATATACAGATTTCATTTTTTTCCTTATACTTAGGACAGGAAATTACAATGTAAAGCATTTTTAAACTAGAAGTGTCCTACCAAATTTCTGTCTTCCCTTCTCCCCTAACCCCAGATGTAATTATTCTTAATGTTTAATTATTTTAATGTTTAATATTTAGATACTGTCACTTTCAACATAAAACTTCCTTCAGCAAAACACTGGATTCTATTATTCTCGAAGTTTCTTGTATTTTATAGTCTAAGATTTTAAGCTCCCTGAGTGATTTATCTGAACACACAAAACCACTGGTCTAATTGGAAGAAACATTTTAACTAGATGTGATCATCTAAAACTATGCTGATTACATTCTGAGAAGAAAGCTCATACATCAAACAAAACAAAACAAACCACAATAAGAGGTAGCCTAGAGTCTGATGTGTGTGTGACAGAGATGGTGATTCCCAGGACTGCGTGTCTCTATGGTCAGAGTAGCCTAATCAGACGGGAAAGAGGAGCTCCACACTGACCAGGAGTAAAGTGTTGAGTGAATTATAAGAAACAGCCGGGAAACATGGTGGCACTGCAGAGAATGTATCTCTGAGCCAGCTGTGGAGTCTGACGGACTGGGAGCTTGGAACCTGGCTGTGCCCCTTCTCCAACAATCTCATGGGATCCCCCTCAACCTCAGTTCAAACTGTCACCTACAAAGAGGGGTGGATTTAATCTTGTGGTGGGTAGAACAACTGAAAGACATTGTGTAAAAGCAGGACACATGGTAGGAACTCAATGGACAATAGTTGCTCTCAATAATAGGGACACAACTTAGAATGAGTATAAAGGTAATGAGTAAGCCAGTGATTACCTAGAAATTAATCAAGCTGTCATTAATTTGGCAAAACATCCAACTAAAAATAAATGATAAAATTGGCAATTTGAATGGTGAGTGTATATTTCGTAATATTAGACATGTTTAATTTTTCTTATTGCAATGATCCTGTGGATCTGTGTTTTTAATAAGCTCTTATCTTTTAGCAATACATATTGTAATATTTATAGACAAAATGATGTGATATTTGAAGTTTGCTTTGAAATAATAAAGGAGGAGGAGGATGTGAGTGTATAGATGAAATAAAAATGGCCATGAGTTGGTCATTTTTGAAGCTAGATAATGGATGCATGAGGGTTCTGAAACTCTTCTCCCTATTATCATACAGAATTGGTTTTTTCTGTAATAAAAAGTAAAAAAAAAAGAAAGATATGTTGGCAGGAAGGTAAATAATAAATAATTTTTCAACAGGTTTTTGGCAATTGGTAAAGAGTACCTAAATATGCATACTATTTTTTCACTGAAATTCCATTATGGAGAAAAAATCAATACATGTGTTTATCACAGCATTATTTTTGTGCAAAAATTGGAGCGGTCTAAAATTCCAAGACAATAATAAGAGCAAGCGCTCTGTAGGACTTTATTTGCCAGGCATTATCCCAAATGCTTTGTGAAGTGCTCGTTAAAATGTTCACCACAATCCTTCGTAAAGGATTTTTGAATTTTCTAATTTTTGGGGTGAGAAAACCAAGGAATCAGGAGGCAAGTTACACAACCAATGCCACACACTGTAGACTGTAGAGGAGCTAGAAGCTGAATTTAGGCAGATCAAGTGCCAGATTGCAGAATGGCACCACTGTTGGTAAGCTAAATTGCTCTGGGGATAGAATGGGTGACACGAGCAGAGGCAACCCCACCAGATGAAATATACTGCAGTCATTAAAACTGATGAATTATATTGAAATGTGTATAAAATGAAATAAAGAAAATTTAGGCATAAAATGTAGAGATGAAATGCAGAATTACAGCAGCTAGGTTAAATGCAAAGAAAAGAGCTAGAAGAAAATCAGATTTTCTTTTTAATGCTTGTCTTTGAGGAATTAGATTTTTTATTTTTCTAGATTTCCAAATATATTTCCAGGTAAATTTCCAAATATATTGTCTAACTTTTTAATTGGAAAAAAAATGACAACAGTATGACAGTTATACCTAGATTCTTCATACAATAGTGGGGGTTGAGGGGGGCTAAAGACAAGCACACATCAATAAATGGTGTTAGAATAGTTGGATATCCATGGGCAAAAGAATTAAATTGAACCCCTGCCTTACACCAGCTACAAAAATTAATTCAAACTGGATCAAGCTATAAAAACTCTTAGAGGAAACCACAGACATAAATCTTCATGAGATTCAGTTAGGCAATTATTTGTTAGACATAATACCAAACACAATCAACGAAAATAAAACAATAAGAGGAACTGTATGGTATGAAAATGAAAAACTTTTGTGCTTCACAAGGTCTAATGGAGAAAATGAAAATGGGAGAAAATATTTACAAAGCATATATCTAATGAGAGAATTGTAATCAGAATATGCAAACAATTCCTGCAACTAAAAAAGAAAAAGAAAAATAGCTCAATCAAAAAACAAGCAAAAATTTAAATTAATGTATCACCAAAAAAGGTATACAGTCAATAAGAACATGAAAGATGTCCAGTGTTGGGGCGCCTGGGTGGCGCAGTCGGTTAAGCGTCCGACTTCAGCCAGGTCACAATCTCGCGGTCCGTGGGTTCGAGCCCCGCGTCGGGCTCTGGGCTGATGGCTTGGAGCCTGTTTCCGATTCTGTGTCTCCCTCTCTCTCTGCCCCTCCCCCGTTCATGCTCTGTCTCTCTCTGTCCCAAAAGTAAATAAACATTGAAAAAAAA